GGGGGGGCTAGGGGGGAGAGGGAGGGGGGGGGTTTGGGGGGGGGAGGGTGTGGGGGGTAGGGGGGGGGAGGAAGGAAGGGGACGAAGGAACGGGAACAAAGTAAAAGAAAAGGGAAAAGCAAAAGCAAAGAAAAAGAGCCGCGGCAGCGAGAGGCTCCCGCGGCGCTGCTGCCTCCCCGCGCACTGCCCGAGCAAATGGCTGGGGGGGCGAGTTCCGGCGCTTAAATACCCCCGCCCCGACCCGCCCCCTGCCCGTCCCCGCCCCGCGCACCTGGACGGGCCCCGCCTCGCACACCTGTGCGGGCCCCGCTCCGCCCCGGACCCGCCCCGGCCCCGCCCCGCCCGCGGGGTTTAAAGCCGGCAGAGCCGCGGTCGCCCCGCGTTTGTGGAAGAAGCTCGTACCGGGATGCTGCGGGAGCGATCGGCGCTCGGGGCCGGAGTCCCGGCCCGGCGGCTGCTCCCGGCGCTGCGCCGAGCTCGGGGCGCTGAGCGGGGACGGCACCGGCACCGGAGGACCGAGGCTGGCTTGGAGCTGCGATGGGGTTCGGCAGCGGTACGGGGATCGGCATCGCCGGAGTCGCTCCGGGGTGGGCGCTGGGGCCGAGCTCGGCAGGGCCGCTCGGGCCGGGGCTCTGCCGGGGCCCGGTTGGGGGAGAACGGCGGCGCTTTCCTCGTACAGACGCGGAACCCGGGTCGGGACCGGCCGGGGTGCGGGGACACGCCGGGCCGGCCCCGGGACCCCCCGATCCCGCCGGGCCCGCGGCGCCGCCCGCACCCCCCGCGGGATCGGAGCTCCTCCCGCTCGGGCAACCCCGAGGCCATCGCACTTCCCCACCCCCCCCGAAGAACATCGCCCGCTTCCCTCTTCCCCGCGGCCCCAGGAGGTTCCCGCCCGCAGGGCCCCCCGGGAACGAGGGCTCTGGGGCCCGCCGGGGCTCCGGCCACGGACCCGCTCCGGCCGCGGGGAGCCGGGGCCCTGCCGGGGCAGGGAAGAACGGGGGCAGCCGCTCCCTCGTTCCTCCCGTGCTCCGGGACCCCGAGCAGAGCTCTGTCTGTCTGTCCCCTGTCTCTGTGTCTGTCCACAGGCGGCCCCAGGAGCTGGCGCTGACCGTGCCGCGGCTCGGGCATAGGCTGCTCCCAGCTCTGCCTGCGGAACTTCGGCAATTGCCCCCAGCAGTTCTTTGCCCTGCCATCCAGAAGGTGCGGCTCCTCTGACACCTGCCAGGTGAGACCTGAGGCTCTCCTTCCTCTCCCCCGCTTCCTCGGCAACTCGCACCCTCCCGGGGCGAACCCTCTGCTTTTGAAAAATCCCCCATCTTTATTTGCAGACGGGGAAGGTCCTGCCTGGGAGGGAAACGGCTACAGCAGAGGAAACCAAGAAACGCTCCAACCGGACGCTGCCGCGCGAGTCAAAGGAGGGAAGGACCGCAGGCAAGTACAGTCAGGAAATCCGCTTTTATTAAATCTCTGCAGCATTAAATCCCCCCTTCCCAGCCACGGGCCGGAGGGAGCGCGGCCGGCTGGGCTGTGCCCGGCTGGGGACGGGCACCAATTCATCACTGCCCTGCTCAGGGAGGTTTTCCGGCCCTGTCCGGGATTCACCCAACGGCTGCAAAGGTGCTCGTGTGACTTCCGAGCTCATTTCCAGAGATAAAGGAGCCAAACGAGTCCGGAGGGATCCTTCGCTCCGAAGCAAAGGCGTCGGTCGAGTGTCGCCGCCTGGTCCCGCCTGCGGGGGGGCGTCTCCTCCAGGTGAGCCTTCGGAACCCAAAATGCCGGGGGGGGGGCTCAGGTCGGGGCCGCTTTTCGGGCCCGGAGTTGGACGGAGCCCTCGGCGGCTCCTGATTTCCGCCAGGAACGTTCTCGGGGCTCCCTGGGCAGTCCCAGCTGGGCAGGGAACGCGGGCCGGGAGGAGGCCGGAGCGACAGAGAGTGACCCAGCCCTGCTTGGGCTTCCTATTGCCGGGGGATGGAGGAGCTGTGCCCTGCACTGCCCTTCCTATTGCCGGGGGATGGAGGAGCTGTGCCCTGGAGCCGTGCCCTACAGCCCCCATGGGGTGGGCACGGGGAAAGGGCTGCCCGCGGCTCCTCAGCCGGGCGCTGCTCTGAACGGGCACCCTGAGATGCCTCACCCTGGACACGCCCCAGCGACAGCCCCAAAGGACCCAAAGAATCCAGCCGGCACCCGGCAGTGTCGGCACGGCGGGGCTGCAGAGCAGCGCGGGCACCCATTCCCAGGGCCCACCTCCCAGAGCTGTCCCGCGCCCCCCACGGGTGTCTCGCCCACCCCAAATCCCTGCCCTTCCAGCCGGAGGTGCTCTGAAGGCAGGGCTGTGCATCCCTTTCCTCGGGGAAAAGAACTCCCCGGGGCCGCTCCCGAGGCTCCGAAGGGACAGCGGCTTCCCGCCCGGAGAGACGTCCTCGCCCGTGCTCAGGGGCTGCCTCGCCCCGGGCCGGGAGCGCGTCCGGCCCCCGCCTTCTCCTGGGCCAACCCATCCCCTGGAGCCCGGCCCGGGGCGGAAAAGCGGCCGAATTCCAGGGAACTCGCTCAAGTCCCCCCAGGGACACCAGCGGGGTTGGGGGAGGAGGGTTATAAACAGCAAAGTCTGTGCAACATCAACCTGTCCTTGTCCCGATCCCGCTGAGTAAACCTGGAACCGTGGCTTCTTCCTGGCAAACCTGGCGTTAAAGCAGCAGCTCTGCGGGGGAAGATCCGGGCTCCAGGAGGCACTGGGAGGCTTTTCCAGCAGGAATTCGGCATGGAATTGCGGGCTGTAGGTAGAATTCATCCAAACCTGCAAAGCTGAGACCGGAACCCAAACCTGGGCCCCACGCAGAGAACAATCTTTGTGCTGCTGTGTCGGCCAAAGCCGCTGCACTGAGAGATCTTGGCAGCCTAAAGGAGGGTAAACCAGCATCTCCCAAGGGGACAATCCAAGTCCCAACTAAATCCTTTTGCCTTTCCACAGGGACACTGACCCTTATTTGGTCCTGCTCTCCCACGGTTCATTTTGGGGGATTGGTTTGTGCTGGTTTACATTCCACGACTCCACCCACAGCTGGAGGTTTGAGGCTGTGCTTCTCTGCTCCCAGCAGGTTCCCTAAGGAGCCAGTTACTCCAACAATCCCCTCGTTTGACTTTCTAGGCGAATTGTGCACAAGCCAGTCCCCCATTCCCTATCCAGGCTGGGAGTGCTCGTGCCCTTGGCACAGTTGGCTCTGGCTGGGCAGGAACTGAGAGCAGGACACGGGATAGAGCGGATCAGCTGCCCAGGGAACCTCCAGGAGATGAAGCTACGGGATCCTCATTCCAATCAAGGGAACACATTCTGTCTCTGGCAGAGCCCCCTGCCCATGGCTGGCAAATCAGGGCCAGGGCTCGGCCTCGCTGCAGCCGCCCCACACGGGAACAACTCAGGGCTCAGACCAACATTTCCCTGCTTGGCCACTGCAGAGACCCTCAGGTCACCTCAACACCTTCCTTCTCTTCCCAGCAGGTTACCTGAACTTTAACACCCACAACTGTCTGTGTCTCTCACCACTCATCACCTCAGCTTACCTCAATGTGTTCATTCCCTGCCCTGCAGAGAATGAACCTCCTTTTTAACCCCCAAACTTTCCCCTTCCAGCCCACTCCTGATTACCTTTTCTTGAACACAAAAGAGTCATTCCCTCCCCCAGAGATTACCTCCTTTTTAACCCCCAGAGTCTTCCCTACCTGCACACTCCTGATTACCTCTTTTGGACCTCCAAATATTCATTCTCTGCCCTGCAGATTTGCTCAAGTTTCACCCTCAGAAATTCCTCTGCCTCTCCCCTCCTGACTTCCTCACTTTCTTCCAAAATGTTCCTTCTCTGCTGCACATTGCCACAGATTTGACCCCCACAATTTTCCCTACAAGTCCACCACTGAGTACCTCATGTTCATCTCTCAATATTCATCCTCTACCATGCAGATTACCTCAGATATTTCCCCCCCAATTTTCCCTAGGAGTCCACAACTGATTACCCCAGTTTACCTCAGGATGTACATTCTCTGCTCCACGTGACCTCAAATTTGACAAACACGAATTTTCCCTACCTGCCCAACACTGACTGCCTCACTTTACCCCGAGGTATTCATTCTCTCTGCTACAGATTGCCCAGATTTTACTCCCAAAATTCTCCTTACCTACCCACATGTAATCAGCTCCTCTGTACAAACACATGTTCATTCTCTACCCTGTGGGCTACCCCAAGTTTACCCTAAAACACTCCCCAACTGTCCACCACTGAGTACCTCATTTATCCTTCAAAATATTCATTCTCTGCCCAGGACATTCCCTCAAGTTTTACCCCCAGAGGTTTCCCCTCCTGCCCACTGTTGACTGCCTCAGTGTCCATCAGGAGGTACATCCTCTCTGCTACAGGTGACCTGAAATTTTACACACACAAATTTTCCCTACCTGCCCACCACTCACTGCCTCACTTTATCTCTAAATGGTCATTCTGTCCTCTACAGATGACATCAACTCTTACACCCAACATTTCCCTTCCTCTACATCACCCATTTTCTCTTCCTGACGCCCCAACTTTTCATTCCATCCCTACACATTCCCTGAGTGTTTCCCTCCCAAGCATCCTTCCCTTCTTCCCTGTTTAAGAACTCACACTCCAGCCCCAGGCTCTCCACTCCCCCTCAGTGGGACCCCTCCAAAATGCCACCTCCCTCCCCTCTGCAGCACCTCACCTTTTCCTACACAAACAGTTGCTGGGGCCCCTCGAAATTACCCCAAGTTGGCAGCTACAAATGTCACCTCTGTCCCTGCCATGTTCTCCCAGGTTTCCCCAGCTGGGAGCTGCAAGGAATTCAGGCCAGGGAATGGACAGCAGGGAACAGCTGTACATGCAAAGGCAGAAAGAGAAGGTCTGTCAGCAAAAGGCACAAAGAAGGGGACAGGCTTCAGAAAACATTTCTGCAATCTAATGAAGAACTCTTTCCAGTTTCCCAGGGAGAAGAACAGGAACTCACAGCCACCAAGGCCTGACAGTCCCCTGCAGCCAGAGCTCAGCACACAGCCAGTCAGGCAATTCCAGCATCTAAAAGGAAAAAAAAAGAACAAAAAAAGTGATTTATTTTGGTTTAAAGTTACTTTAAGTTGTTCCAAGCAAAGCAAGCCTTGCTCTGGTTTCAGTTGGGTGAACAGGGAGCGCTGGGCACAGGGCACGTCATTAATGCCCAGGGGATGGGGCTTGGTGGGGGAGGGAAGAGCAGCTGATGGAGTTGCCCAGTCCAATTCCTGCCCAAGGCCTGACTGGCCCAGGACAAACCCTCTGGCAGGCAGTGGGTTTGTTCCCTCTCATGGTCAGTGCCCAGTGTGTCCCTGTGGGCAGTGCCAGGCTGGGGACAGGCACACGCAGCTGGCAGCACTCTCTGCTCCAAAGACACTTCTGGCCTCCTTGGCAAACTGCCTCTGACACCTGGTTTTCTCCGGCAGAAATTAAGGAATTGCTCATGGCAGTTTGGAGATGAAGTTATCCCAAAGGGAAGGAAAGAACAAATATTCCTGTCAGAGCCCTTGGGATCTGCTGGGCTGAATTGGGAAGGGCCCCTTATCTGCAGAGCAAATACAGGACAGCCTCAAACACAAAGCCCAGCCTGTCCAGTGGGGTGTGAAAGCACCACTGGGACAAACCTCCACTCTCCTGATTCTTTTCAGGGGCTGCTCCGACCCAGCTCTGAAGCTGCCAAGCCCAAACTGTCCCCGGCGCTCTGGAACAACAGGATCTTCCCAGGGATGATGCATTGGAAGCACAGCCCTCATTCTCACCCTCCACACGCTCCCAGGCTCACCCCAAATTCAGGACAAGGGGCCAAAGGCCCCTCGGGCCGGGGCTCTCTCTGTCTCTGCGGGCTCAGGGACTGCAGCCACCAGGGCCCTCCAGCACGGACAGCCTGGACCCAGAGCAGATCCCTGGGCATTGGCAGCGTCCTGGGCACACCTGGAGACAGAAACCATCAGCCTCTGGGACAGCACTTCATTGCCAGCACACACAGCCTGCCACCTTTAGGGGGGCAGCTCTCGGAGCACAAAGCCCAGTCTGACCCAGTTCTCCTGGGCACCAACACGGACTCCACAGACCCACAGGAATGAGAATGTTCTGCTGCTTTGACAAACTTCAGCCCAGCTTTGCAAACCTCAGTCCCTGCAGCTCCTGCTCTCCAGAGCCCCGTTCAGGGCTGGCTCCAGTTCCCTGGAGAACCTGCCCCAGCCCCACTCTGGGCCAGCCTGAGCAGAAGCCACTGGGCTGCACAAGGAAGAACCCTCCCCTGGCTGCTGCAGCTGGAGGGAGATCCAGCTCCCAATGGAACCCTGGCAACAGCCTCCCAGAGGGTCTCTCCCCAGCCCTTGGCACTGGCTCAGAATGGCAGCAGCTCCAGTGCCAGCTGGGTCCCTGCACGAGTCCTTGTCCCAGCCCTGCCCCACGGACACACACGGGAGACACCCACGGGCACACAGGCCTTGCTTGCACAATTCCTCACCCACAGCTGAGGGAAAGCCACACAATATTAAGAAATAACCTGGGCTGAGAGCACTCATCACTCCAGTCCATCAGGACTTGGAGGCAGTTGGGTAGGCAACAGACCCAAATTCTAATCCTACCTCTACATTTCTAACAGGTTCTCTTAGAAAGATCCTGGACAGGAACTCAGACAACACAACCCAAACACTGCACAAGCAATAGCAGAAGATTTGCCATGAAGAACAGGAGTTCCTTGTTTTCCTTAACACTCTGGGACTGGAGGACCCAATCTTTGCAACCAAGGGACACCAGAGATGTGATTAATACTTAAACCTCTCCCCCATGGTGCTGTCTCAGAGAACTGGGCCAGCCCTGAGCTACTCCCAGGTGCCTGCAGTGCTTTGGGGAGGGGCAGGACAATGTCCCACTTCTGCTTGGAAACATTCCAGATGAGGAAAAGCCACTTCCCTTCTCTCTCTCTGACCCAGAACCAAAGCGGTCCTGTAGGACAACACGGACTATGCACGGAAGGCCCGAGTCAGTGGGGGAAAAGCCTAAACAAACCAAACCACCCCAAATTTCAAGATAAAACCAGGCTGCTTCCTTAACAGGAGCACACCAAACTCATTGAAGCCAGAGAGGAAATTACAAACAAACAAACAGAAGACCCAAAGAGATGCTTTGCACTGATACACTCTCTGGTTGATCATTCCAAAGGAAATTCTCCACAGATCAGAAGCAAGTACCAATACTTTGTCCTCTATTGAAAATTAATGACTTGAGGGGCTGGACATGTCCAGTGAGGGTTCAGGGGTCTGGTGGGTCCTTTATGGCTGATCCTGACCGGCCCAGGCCAAATCCAACCACCCCCATGGCTGCTCCATCCCAGACCTGGGGGCAACATTCAGACAGTTTGGAAACACTGCCCTTCCCTGCTACTCCGTCCTTCCTTACACATCCAGTGCCCAGGGAGCAAATGCCAACAGCAGGAGGAGAGAAGGGTGTCCCTCTGACTTACCCCACCCCACGGGCAGCACCAGGAGCCCCCAGCCCGGCCGGCGGGGCTGCAGCCTCTTGCCTTTGGCTGCTCCCAGCCCAGGGCACTTGGCAGAGCTGGGCTGGATCAGGGCTTTGGCCTGGCCTGGAAGAGAGGAGAACAAGGCAATTAAGGGCACTGGACAAGTCAAAGGCTCCTGCCCTTCACCCTTCTCTTCAATTGCTCACTAGAGAGTTTGAGCCATGAAAAATCCAGGGGGGACACCAAATGAAACGTGGCCTTTTCCAGCATCTTTATTCCTCTCTACTTCAGGCACTGAAAGGAGGCTCATCTTTCTCACTGCATTCCTTGCCCCATTGGAACAGAACCTTCTTTACTCCAAACCTCCCTTGGGAGTCAGTCAATCCTCTGCCATTGGACTTTGGGCAAAGGAAGAGACACCTGGGATGCTGGAGCCCAGGAAATGAGGGAGAGAAACCTGACAGGGAGAGGATTCAAGGCACTCCAGAACTCAGAAATGTGTTCATGCCTTGCCAGCCCACCCCCATTCTGTGCCACCCACCTGAGCTGGGCAGGTGAGGCCAAGGCTCCCCTTCCTGCTGCCAATCACTGTCCCAGCACACGGATCCCCGTGCTGGGCAGCACTTGGGAAAACCTGGGAAAGGCAAAAGGAAAATGGCACTGCCTGTCAGAAAATATGTCTGTGAACATCCCTTCTGGACAAATGTAATCCCATCCCTCTGCCCCAATAAACCCAGGGCAGGCAGGTCTCTCCAGCCCAGGGAGAACAGGAAGGAGAACTGCAGGAACACAGGCAGGCACAGGCAGCTCTTGGCACTTCTTCCCTGCAGACCTCTCTGCACTTGGGGCTCTTGGCACTTCATTTATAAAGAATGGGGGGGCAGCAGCCCAGGAATGCCCCTCAAAACCAGGGGCCTGGGCAGCTGGAGATTAGAGGAGGGGAGTTGTGAGGGGAGACACGGAGAGAGAACAGGAACAGGGGTTGTTTGGGAACAGGCTGTGTGTCCAGCACAGATGGGAACTGGAAACACGGGAGGCTGGAGGAAGGCAGGGGGGGAGCACGGGCCTGCCTTGGATGGATCCTTTTTCCCTTTGCTCAGGGGCCTCAACTCCACCCTCTCTGAGAGCAGCAGGGAACTGACACAAAAATGACACAATCACCACTGAAAGGGACTTTATTGAGCTGCAACACAAACACATTCACAGCAGGCCAGGGCAAGAGGTGCCCACAGGACCACCAACACAGCAGCTGGGCTGGCAGGAACACCATCTTAACAAGTTATGGAGCCAGGGGCTCACAGTTGGGATCTATCCCAAAGATGCACTCAGACATCAGGGCCAAGTCCTGCCCAGTCACTGCACACAGTTCAGCCCCAGCAGCAGTGGCATTTTCTGCCTCTCCCTCCAATATCATTTGGGACCCAACAGCTCAAGGCTGTGGAATTTTACCTCCAAGGGTGGAGGGCACGGAACAGCTGCACACACCTTGGCTGCCTTGGCCCAGCACACACTCACAGCACCTGCAGCCTTCAGCCAGGGCCCCTGAGCACACACAGCCCTTACCCTGCTCCTCAGGGGCAGCAGCCCCGGGGCTCAGTTCTCAGGGAACTTCTCATCTTTCCTTTGGTCCTTTGATCCCTGGGCAGGGCAGAGACACGTGAGAAACAACTTCTTGTAATTGATCCCAGAGACAACAACCCCATATTGTTCATAAAATCAGTATAATTACAGTGATTAGTGGATGGATTAAAGTGTTCAAAAACTTTGTAGCAGATGGTGAGAATCTTGTAAATATGTCCCACCAGTGGGGAGCAGTGACTTGTTCTACCTGACGCCCAAAGGTCACTAATTGACCCCCTATATTTACTGTTTGCATTTGGTGATCAAGTCAAGTCTTATTTCAAATTTGTAGGGCAATAATTTGCACTTACATACAAAAATCCCTGGTTTACTTACATTGCAGTGTGTTATTTTTCCAGCACGATATCAGTTGGTGCACTGCAGCAATTCAGGAGACAAAATCCAGTTAATTTTTGCAATCCAGGATGGGAATACAGCCCTCCAGATCAGTTCATTGGTACCCATTAAGTCCTTCTGTGCCTCATTTCTTTGTATTACAATATACACACCATGTCATGTGCACTCAGCCCAGTTCATAAGTTACTGGTGTTCCCCTGTGCACAACAATTACATCTTGGGGAACCATCAGAGAGCTGCCCAAACTCCCCATCACATTCTGGAGTGAAGGGTGGGGGGTAAATACAGTGGGCATCCCTTGTGCTCCTAAATTCAGCACTCGGGATACACCTGGCCCAGCTCTTTGCCATTGGTTACCAAACAATTCCATGTCTCCACTGTCTACAAATCCAATACCAGCTCCCGTTCCTCCCAGCCCCGTGTCCCCCCAGCCTCGCTGCCTGGGGCAAAATGGGAGCACTGGAAGCAGAGTGGGGAAAGGAATTCTATTATCCTGATGATGTTGGGCTGCAGGACACAGGCAGCAGGTACCCAACAGTTGGACCAATATTCGCCTCGGGAGGATGATGCCCAACTGTGCCATCCCCTGCCCCAGCTGATCCCTTTGCTCTTTTGGCAGCACTTCCCCAGAACAGCCCCGCAGGCAGAGCCCAGGGGACGGCCCTGCTGCTGTGACACTGGGGCTGGGACTGGCACCGCTCACACAGGGGGACAAGGATGCCAGGGAGACCCCCCGGACCCAGCACCGTAAGGGAAACTACAGCACTGCATGGCAACAGTGCTCCCAGCCCCTGGAATCACATCCATCCCATCCCACTGAGGGCACCAACAGCCGCCCGCACAATGAGCCCGACAGACCCCGGCCCTGCCAGAGAGTCCCCCCGGGCACAAAGGGAGATTGACCCCTGGCCAAGGGCCATTTGCTTCCCAGGTCACCTTGTCCTGGGGGCCTGGTTTGGAGCTGCTTTTCCACCTCCATCCAAATCAAACCAAGGCACCCGACCCAGGCACCTTTCCCAGGGAAGTGCCCGGGCCAACAGCATCGCCCAGAGGGGCCACAAGGGCTCTGAGGATGGCCAGGATCCACAGTTTCTGTAAGATATCAAGCTACAACATGGCAATATCATTCCCTCCACTAACATTTATTCACAGGAACATATTCCCATTTTCCTTGTCTGCATTTAATCACTAATTCTGTGATGGTGTCAGCTGGGAGCCAAGTAGCCAAACCACTGCCAACTGACCCCAAATCCCTACAAACCTGACACTGCCCTAGTTCTTCCTGTTTCATTCCCACAGGTACAGTGTCTCACTCAGCTCATGGACTACTTTTGCCTCCCCCCTTTGTGACTTCCAACTCCCTCTGGCACGGGTTATAAGCTCCTGCTTTCCAAAAGTGCTTCCCACTGACAGATGTGGCTGACCCAGCAGTGAGCCAGGCATGCTCCCTCTCTTCTCCCAGCACTTGCCCTCTTATCATTTGTTGTTCCCACTAAAGCCCAAGAACATACTCAGAGCTGCTTCTCCAACAGGGTCCATCTTGGGCTGGCTTCCAGTAACTTCCTGTTCCCAAATCCTAAGGGCACTTCCTTCCTACCTGGAACAGTTCATTAGGATACATGCCAACAATAAAGACAAGTGCCACAAGCATTCAAACACACAAAATAGCTTTATTGCAGTGAGAAAAATAATAATAATAATAATAATAATAATAATAAACTTGGCAAAGAGAATCAAAAGTTAAAAAGGATACAAATGAACTACCTTATCGTGTGGCATTAAAACAAATAGTGAGAACAGCATTCAATACAGTATAATATTAACTAGTAAAAAGGGAGTTAAAGGGATACCAAAAAGGATCTTAACACAATATTATGGATAACTATTAACACGATATCTGGTTAGTAAAAGGGGAAATTAAAGGGAAAATATTATGAATACTAAATAAAGGGTATTAAAGGAACACTAAAGGATATTTAAAGTCTTCTTTCTCTGTTGCCTCCCATCACTACACTGTGCCCACCCCCCCAGCCAGGCAGGGCTGTCAGGATCTGCAGCAGCTGGTCGGTGCCCATCCCTTAGCGGGCGTCCCCGCGGAGCAACACAGGCTCGGTGGCAGGATGAGGATCGCTCAGCTCAGCAGTCCTGACAGCCCATTTTATCAGCTCCACATTACACCACGTAGGGCCAGGACGCAGTGTAAGGGGAGGCCTGAATGGCAGCCAAACACCGCCCGATCATGCCCTGATGGCAACAGTCTGGGCCTGCCCTACTTGTAGGGCAAGGGGCCAGCCACCCCTGCCCACATCATCTTCCTCTCACCAGCATCCTTCTCACCCCTAGGTATGACCTCTCCCATGGTGTTTCAAGGGCAGATGTACCTACCTTGCAAGATGTAGCAGAACAAGGAAGAACTCAGCTCTGATCACAGGGGATGTCAGGCTGACTTGCTGAAAAGCACAACGGACCTTACAATTAGCTTGTGCCATCAAGTTACATTGTACCACACTCTAGCTGGTTTCACATCCTAATATGATTTCTTTCTCACACCTCTAGGCTCCATTGATCATCTAATTCAAAAGGACCCCCCTTACATGACCCTACTTCTGCCAGGGGCTCCAATTGGCATCGTTATCACTGGCAGGAACCTTTAGTTGCCCCTCTCTGGCTCCTATTGGTCACAGGTCTGGAGCCTGTTGAATTGCTCCCTGAGCTGTTTCCAACCCTCCCTGCTGCTCATTTCCCACTCAAACTCACACTTCTGTCCTGAGGCTTTATGGCACAGGCCAAGGATTGGTCCCAAAGGAGGACCGGGTTGTCACCAAAAGCCAAACCAACCAATAAACTGCTGGGCTTCCACCTTGCTCTGGGGGTGACCAAGCCTGAAGTCTCCTGCCTAGTCCTGGGCAATACTTCCTGGGGACCACAACACCTCTGAGTTCCCAAAAACATCACAGGTTGGGCAGGTGCTTGAATTTTGTCTGGATTAACTCCCCCCTTCCTTTCCATGTGCTGCACTACTCACTCTAATGGTGCTTGTACTCCCTGAACCATTCCCTCACCCATCCAACCATCCCTTGTCCCCTCTCTGACAAGGACAGTGGGTCCAGGTGTTCTGCCACACTCCCAGGGCACAGGGGGGGACTGTGGAGCCACCCTCGAGGGGGGAAACGTGCCCTGCCTGCCCTGCCCAGGGAAAGGGAACTGCCCCCAGTGTTCCCCAGCACAAGGCACCCTTGGAAATATCCACTGCAATGGGACACTCAGGGACAGCAACAAGCACTGCATGAGGCTGCTCTGGCACAGGACCAATTTTAAGATCAGCTTTGATCTGGACCACTTCATTTGGTTTCCCACCTCATCCTGCAGTCAGAACTTGCTGTCCTTGCAACTTTTTAGGGTGACCATAAATTACAGAGGCCTCTGCTCCAGCACCCACGAGGGCCTGAACCATCTGACAGGATCCATTTTTCCAGGGAATTCAAAGCTCCACCTGAGGAACAGGGCATCCTGAACAAACCCATCCCAACTCCACAGGACAAACTGCTCCCTCTCTGCCCAGTCCAGTCTAATCCCAGAGGCTCCCAGGTCATGCAGAACAACAACCCAGGAGATCAGAGACTGCAGTCCATCTCTTCCTAGCACAGGTTTGGGTGAGTTTGGCAAATAGGGAAACTGAGCAATTACCCAATGTTTTCCCAGTTTAACCCCTGTCACACCAATCACCTGAACACTGCCAGTCCTTCATTCTCCCTCTCTTGGGTTAAGGACTGAGGAAGTTGGACCTGTGTCTGAGCAGGACAGGTGCAAACCAAATGCTGGGGACTGGAACACACACCTGGCACTCCTGCAGCTCTCACAGTCACATTCCAGAGAAAACAGCCAATTGGACCCTCACCGCTCATTTCTTAATCCCAATCCCACACTTCCTTTGCACTTGGAGCACCACTTTTAGAACCCAATTCCAGCCCATTAGAGAGCTCCATGTCTAGCAGGGACAGGGACCCCTGGGATACTCTCAGCAATGCCTGAATCCATGGCAGGGACCTTGCTTTGAGCTCCCCAGGGCCGGGCACCCCGAGGATCTCCCCGAATAATCCTTTCGGTGCGCGCTGGAGTCCTCGGGGTGCCCCAACCCGGGGGGCACCCACAGCACTGTCCCTCCAGGGGGCCCAATTTGGTCCTAAAATGCAGGGGGATCTTGCCTGTGTCCCAGACTGGTCCGGGGATCTGAGGCCCTTCCCGAGAAAATCTCGGTGCCGGCGTGAAGGGCCAGAGATCCCTTGGAGCCACGGGAGAGCAGGCACAGAGTCCCTCCTGGGGGCCAATTCTGCTGCCTCAACTCAGCTCTTCAAAGAAGCCTCTAAGACTCAGATGGTGAGTTTTAGAAGCCAGGCATTCCTTGCTTACAACACCCTGCCATGATCCCAGCCCGACGGGGGTCCTGGCAATCAGCTCCCAAAGGGCACACACAGGTATCTCCACTGCAGCTGATGGGAAAGGTCAGCATTACAGGAGGATTCATTTTCCTTCCCTGCATTCCTCTTTCATATTCAGGACATTCTCCAACACTTATCACCATACACACCTACCCTTAGAAGGTTTCCAAGGGGCTTCACCGAGGGCCTTCCCAGCTCTGCTCTGTCTGGAGCCCTCAAAGTCCTCAGGGCCTGCCTTAGGAACCTCAACACAACTCACCTGCTTACACAGCAACTTGGTGCTGCTTGGCTGCTGCCTCACTTCCCTTCTTCCTTCTTTCTTCACCACCCTTGGTTGGTCCCTTTCAATCCCTTGGCTCAGCTCTGCGGAGTTTCCTCTCCAAAGACACAGGAAAACAAGTGCCAACACTTCAACAATCACTTTAGTTTTCAATTGATAAAGCAACAGTAAAGAAAAGCTTTTCAGACACTTGGGAAGAGTCCATCCCACTTTAACTAGTGTGTGGGACTCGTTCCCAGCCTCCTGAGGTTCATTTCCCACCTCACTGGGGCTGCAGTACACCTGGTTCTACACACACACACAGGGAGCTGCTGCTTCTTGAGTCCAGTCTCCTGGTTCCCCTTGCAACTCCTCCAGCTGTTTGCCCAGCTCTCCAGTGCCCATTCCTTTGCCCACTGCACTTGGTCACAGCCCCAGGGCTCCCAGGGCCACCCTGGGCTCTCCCCTGCCCTGACACTCAGGGCCCTTTCCCAGCCCTGACTCCATCCAGCACTGACACAGCTGCTGCACCTGCAAGTCTCCTGCTCCTGCCCTCCCTCTGCCTGCAAACACTCCTGCCAGCTCCTGCACCCCACCTCTTACCTCCCAGCAAAGCAGAGCTGCATCCTCCTGGATCCTCCAGCTGGATGCTGCTGGCTCTGGGCAGCTCCCACCCTTCAGCAGGGGATGCCAAAGGCAGCTCTGGGGACTGTCCCGAGGGCAGGGACACCCACTGTGGCTCACACCAACACTCAGCCATCTCAGGCCTGGGCTCTTCTGCCTGCAGGGCAACAAACAGCCAAGCAGGGACACTGGGACACTCCAAGGAAACAGGGACAACACACTCAGCAGCCTGGCACACCACAGCCCCCAAACCTGCCCAGGCTCCAGCTGCTGCACAGACCTGTGGCCACACAGGACACAAACCCACCCCCAGCACAGACAACCCTGGGCAGGTCAAGCTGCTCATTCCCAAACACAACCAAACATCCAGTGCCACTGTCTGCCAGCCCCTGCTCCCAGCAATCAATCATCTTGCCCATTTCCTTTCTTTACAGCTCCTTGCATTCACATTCTACTATCAAACCATCAGCAGCAAATTTAGCTCTTACTAGAACCAATCCAGCTTGGCTTCCTAATTTTAAAGGATACTGGGTTTGCCTTACCAGGAGAGACTCTGGCTTAGGGGTAATTCTTACAGCTTCTGTCCTTGTCCATTTGCTTGGAATTCCACTGGCCCACATGACAGGAACAACTGCAGCTGCCACTTCAGTCAGGACCTCGCTGCTGACAGGAGTTATTATCCCTCTGTAAACATCAAACTTCTTCAATACAAACAATCCAGTGGACACTACAACTCCCTGGCACTTTCAGTGGAACCAGTGCAAGTCAGTTCCTAAGTTACACAAGGTTTTCTTCTAAAGTTGTAATTAATTAAGATATCAAAAAAACAACAACTGTGAGATAAGAGATCCCCCCTATAGTTCTACTTTCAGGGAAAAAAACCCCAAACCCCCCTCCCCAGTGCTGCAATAGCTCAGGCTCCCAGAAAGGCCCAGGGGCTGGGCTGGGCTTTTGGCTGCCCTGGAGCACAGGCAGGAACACGATGTCACCACCCCACGGGCACAGCTGAGAACCCAAAGAGCAGCCACACCAGCAGCTCCTGCCAGCCCTGCTGGGCTGGGCCTTGGGGAGGAAGGGCACTGGCCTTTCTTCCTGCCTAGGAGCAAAGAGCCTCCTTGCTGAGTACTTCTCCTGCCAAGGCCATCAGCTCAGATGGGAAGTTCATCAAGGGCAACTTCCTGGAAAGAGAAACATTCCTGTTCCCTGGACAATCTCTTTCCAACTGAACTCAGAAGTACACACAAAACTTCAGGTGTTACCTAAAATTTCTAACAAGAACCTCTGAGACTCAAGTGGTGAGTTTTAGAAGCCAGGCAATCTTTGATTCCTATGCTCTTGAATCATTCCAGCCCACCAGGGGCCCTGGCCATCAGCTCCCAAAGGGCACACAGAGCTATCTCCACTGCAGCTGATATGGCAGCAGCACAGGAGGATTCCTTTTCCTTCCCTGCATTCCTGTTCCACATTCAGGACATTCTCCAACACTTATCACCATACACACCTACCCTTAGAAGGTTTCCAAGGGGCTTCACCCAGGGCCTTCCCAGCTCTGCTCTGTCTGGAGCCCTCAAAGTCCTCAGGGCCTGCCTGAGGAACCTCAACACAACTCACCTGCTTACACAGCAACTCGGTGCTGCTTGGCTGCTGCCTCACTTCCCTTCTTCCTTCTTTCTTCACCTCCCTTGCTTGGTCCCTTTCAATCCCTTGGCTCAGCTCTGTGCACTTTCCAGGCTACATCCCACTGCAAAAAGGATCAGCTCTTGTTACATCTCAACACTTACAGAGTATTCCCCCTTTATTCTTGACAGTCAGCCATCAGGCCAGTGTCTCCTTACTTAAAGCAGAGTTTGACTCCTCAGTGACAACAACAGCTACAGCCCTGAATCCTAACACAGGCTGAGACACAAACACGGATGGGAACTCTGAAGGATCCACTTTGTCCTGCTCACCAATCAAAAGGAGCTTTCTGAACTCAAGAATAACAGACCCCAGGTCCTTTTTCTGCAACTTCAGCTGCTATAATGTGACCCACAAGACCTGCAAAGGCCCTTCCCACTTCACCTGCAGGGCTGGCAGTGCCACCACTGGACACGGACCCAGGGGCTGGGCAGGAACGGAGGGGCTGGGGCGTCCAATCCATCGGCCCAGGCGGCACCAGGAGTTCCTGCAGTTCCTGAGGGGAGAGCCTCAAGACAACAGAGGATTAGGAAGACCATTTTAAACTTTAATAGGCATATCTCCTGGAATATGGGGACTTTGACAAGGCCTACTGGTGCAAAAAGGACACACTCAAGGCTATCTATTCAAAGGATCTACCAGCACTCAAAAGCTATCACTATCCTTCTTGCAGGGGGAACTCAGCAAACTCTGTTTGCCAAGAGCCTCCAGGAGAATTTCCAGCTTTTGAGACTCCCTTTTAACCATTTTCCCCATCACTGTAGCTGGGACTATCACCTGCCCTACAGGGGGAACAGCCCACAAAGTTCACTTGCAGGGATGCCATTAACTCAAAGTCCCTTCTCAGGGGGGTCACTGCACACCTTGGCCTTTGTTTGCCCTCCCCACCAAAGATGCTTCCAACACTTCTGACACATCTGGCAGACCCAGAGCTCTCCTCAGGGAATGCTTTAGCTGCTTAAAGGCTGCCCTTGCACCATCTAGCCAAGGCAGCAAATGCTTACAGGCTGTTGGAAAAGTTGGCATAACAGTCTTACCACACATCCAGAGGGAGCAATCCAGAGTCCAGCCCGTCCTACCATTCCCAGCAAGGCAGTTCATGGGCTGGCTGGGGCTCAGGGAGGAGTCAGGGGGCTTCTTTGCTTCCTTCCTGCTTTCCAGATTTTCTCCTTCCAAAGCAAAGGTTTCTTGGCTTTCCTTGCTCAAGGAGATGCAGCAAAGGCCATCTTTGCAATCCAATACTGGAAACTCCTCGAGGTTGTCATTCAAGGTGGTTCTCTCAGGTCCTGCACTCATCAATCATCTTGGCCATTGGTTTCTTGGCAGGTTCTTGCATTCACGTTCTACAAGCAAACCAGGATGAGCAAATTCAGCTGTTACTGCAACCAATCCAAGCTTGCATTCTGATTTTAAAGGATACTGGGTTGGCCTTACTAGGAGAGATCCCACATCAGGGGTAATACCTACAGGTTCCGCCCTCTTCCACTCTCCTGGAACACTCCACTGGCCCACACCACAGGAACAACTGCAGCTGCCACTTCAGTGGGGACCTTGCTGCTGACAGGAGTTATTCCCTGCACAACAAGAGCTGCTGCTTGGACACATTTAGCTTCAGCAATTACAGTTTCAACATCCCCAGTTTTCCATTTCATTTCTGCCTCAAGTTTTTCAGGAAGTCTCTTCCTAGCAGTGGTTTGGGTGAGTTTGGCAAATAGGGAAACTGAGCAATTCCCCAATGTTTTCCCAGTTTAACCCCTGTCACACCAATCACCTGAACACTGCCAGTCCTTCATTCTCCCTCTATTGGGTTAAGGACTGAGGAAGTTGGACCTGTGTCTGAGCAGGACAGGTGCAAACCAAATGCTGGGGACTGGAACACACACCTGGCACTCCTGCAGCCCTTACCCTTATATTCAAGAGAAAACAGCCAATTGTACCATCACTGCTCATTTCTTGATCCCAATCCCACACTTCCTTTGCACTTGGAGCACCACTTTTATCACCCAATTCCAGTCCATTAGAGAGCTCCATGTCTAGCAGGGACAGGGACCCCTGGGATACTCTCAGCAATGCCTGAATCCATGGCAGGGACCTTGCTTTGAGCTCCCCAGGGCCGGGCACCCCGAGGATCTCCCCGAATAATCCTTTCGGTGCGCGCTGGAGTCCTCGGGGTGCCCCAACCCGGGGGGCACCCACAGCACTGTCCCTCCAGGGGGCCAATTTGGTCTCAAGCTTGCCATGGACAGCCCAAAAGGCATTTCAAGAGTCCTTCTTTGGAACCCACCAACGGGTACGGGGAGGAAGCCACAAGAAGGCCTCATTTCTAAAGGCAGGGGGATCTTGCCTGTGTCCCAGACTGGTCCGGGGATCTGAGGCCCTTCCCGAGAAAATCTCGGTGCCGGCGTGAAGGGCCAGAGATCCCTTGGAGCCACGGGAGAGCAGGCACAGAGTCCCTCCTGGGGGGCCAATTCTGCTGCCTGAACTCAGCTCTTCAAAGAAACCTCTAAGACTCAGCTGGTGAGTTTTAGAAGCCAGGCATTCCTGCACACTCTGAGATATTTTAAGAGCTTACTGAGTGAAAAAACACAAATCTTTTTCAAGGACCTCTGGCCTCCCACAGACAGCTCCTTTCCCCTTTCAGTACGAAATTATTTTCAGGGAATCATTTAATAGGAAGTGCCCAGGAACCCAAGAATGTGCTTTGAGAACAGAAAATATACAGAGGGAAGGAACTTTGCACAAGTATAACATACTCCAGAACAAACCTGACTTTAGTTTTACTCTTTGTGTTCAAATATTCCATAGAAAAGCTCCAGCAGGAGAACTGGCACATTCCCAAGAGGATCCTAAAAGTCCCTCTCACGAGGGCTGGAGGAAAATCGCAGTTGTACGAGTCCCTTGTGCCTGCAGATGCCTGGGGATCCTCTCCATCCACCTCGTGCTCTCCCAACAGCAGAAAGGGTGACCTCGGGGACATGGTGGCACTCCACATCCTGCTGAGAGAGCAAGGAAACCTTTAGCATAAAGGGGAGTTGGAATCTAAAACTTCCTTTCCTGGGAGCTTTGTGAAGCCTGCAACCAAGAGGGGGAAAATTTGCATCTCCTTTGGTGCAGGTGTCAACAGAGGCCAACAGAGCTTGCACCTTTTTCAGACAACTGTGCCCCTTTTGGCTCCCTGGCAGCTCCAATGGCACCAGAACCCCCTTCCTGCACACACACGGCTGTCACACACAGCCACCCACACACCTTTGCTCCAGCCCACACGGGGCCAACATTTCCTCACCCTGCACATCCCAAGGGCAGTAGTTTGGCTAGAGAGCACAGCAACCTCCCTGTCCTCACAAACTGCCTCCCTGCAAAAATGGAATCCTTTCTCCTGGACACTTCTCCCACACTCAAGGTCTTTTCAAACTGCTGTCGTGCCACCAAACCTGCTCAGGGTCCCTCCCAGCTTCTGCCTGTCCTTGCATTTAAAGGCACGGGCATATTCTATCTGCCAACAGCAAACCCAGCTCCTCACTGGCAGTATAAGCCCTGCTCTTACCTGGACAGACTCCCGGGCTCGGCACAGCTGTGGCTCATGGAGCAGCTTCCCAAGGCCCTTCTCTCTCCCAGCAGGAAGCACAACTCGCCTCCACTCCCCAGCACCAGGGGAAACCACGAGCCAGGCTGCAAACTGACACAGAACGAGCAAAAAGCATTAATGCAGCACCAAGAAACTGAGACCAGTCTTCGCCTCGTAACCCTGCACGGGGAAAGGCTTTGGGATTCCGAGGCAACCCCTGAGGCACCCAGAGAGCAACAGCCCCGCAGCCCTGCCACGGCTCCCCCAGGGTCACCCGGCAGGGAAGGGGTTTACCCGGCCCCCGCCGCCCAGCACAACGCGCCCCTAAACGCCCCCCGGCTCCCCCGGTGCACAAACCCAGCGGCCAAGGCGCTCTCCCCTCCGCAGCCCGGGCAGCAGCGGGACCGCACCCTCAGCCCTCACACACAACCGCCCGCACCCCCGCCGCCGGCCCTTTATACCGCGGGCCGGCAGCGCTGCCCAATCAGCGCTCGAGCGCCTCCGCCCAATCCCAGCCCGCCCGGCCCTGCGGCCCCGCCCCGCCCGCTCACCCGGCCCCGCCCCTCGGCGCGGCCCCGGCCCCGTTCCCTCCGCGGGGCTCCCGCCGCCGCCGCAGCCCCGGCGGGCGCTGCTGGGGCCGGGGAAGGGCGGTGGGAGCTCCGCGGTCACGGCCCGTCCGGGAGCTCTCCCGGGATAAGGGGAGCGAGGCGGGGAGCGGGCGGGAGCGGGGCCTGCGAGGACAGCGGCGTTCTTGGGGGCGGGCCGGGCGGGCCGGGGGGCGGGACCGGCGCGAGCTCCGTCAGAGCAAACCTGGTCATTCCAGTGGATCGCTCTTGGAAACTGGGGGATCATAGCGTTTTCCAGGAAAGAGTAACGTCACATTTTGAAACATTCCACGGATGGGGATACATAACCTCCCCAGGCAACCCATTCCATGAGCGACTGCCCTGACAAAATACCTCCCCCTCCCATGCGGTTGGAAGCAACAGCTGGGCTGGCAGGAGCAGAACCTCCCTGCTGGGCCATTCCCCAGCAGCCCAAATGCCCTGCACAGGGCTCGGTGCGGAGGCCTGGGCGGCTCGTTCCTCCAGCTGGGCATTTGAGGAGCTGCCCTTGCCCCGTCCCTGCCAAGTCCCTCTGGCAGTGGTGCAGCTCCTCAGCTGGAGTGCCTCTGAGGGACCCCCGGCCACGTTTCCCAGCAGCTGAAGGAAGGGAGGGTCACCCCCCAAGCTGGGCTGCCTTTCTCTCGCTGCCTTTTCCCCACCTTTACACTGCAGTGACAAGAGCTGCACTTTCCCAGGGAACGGGGCAGTGCCAGGGCAGAGCAGCAGGCAGGAACCCCCTTCTTTTCTGCAGGCCAGTGACTAACTGTGTGTGAAGGGACAGCGACTCTGGTACCAACTCCACCTCCCACTTCTTGTCACAGATCGATCTGAGGCACTTGTCAGGTCAATACCTGCCCTTTTCAGGAGCACCAGGCTTGTGTTCAGTGTCCTCATTGTAGCCCATGAATCCCTCTAGGTGTTAAATCAGCCTCTCTGTCCTGATTCTTCTCATGAAGAATTAGCATTAGTGTCAAACCGTGTTAATGAGATATACAAACTATCCTGAGAGTGTCTATGTTACAAGCTCAGTTTGGCACTGTTGCTATCCTGAAAAGCGTGGAACAGTGACTGTCAGTTCTCCTTATGCTGCTCTTAAACACCATCCCTACATTCCCAGGAGAACTCTGCAGGGAGAGACAGAACGTTTAAAACATGAAACCTTGGCATCGCAATTGTTATTTCTAAGGATGTGTTTCTATCTGATACAGTTGTTGGGGTGATTACTCTGGAGAGTGTTTTGTACCTCAGGCAGTACGTCTGGTGTATCAGCCTCCTCGTGAGCAGGAACCAGCACATTCCCCAAAGGAATGTTCTGTCAGACTCTGTCAAACCCAGCACGGAGGTGAGCAGGAGTGGTGCTTGTGCACAGCTGAAGTGAAGCACACTTGGATTCGAACTGCTCTGGGAGATCTTTGTTGAGATGGGTATTTCTGCACAGCTTCTTGTGCCATGTCGAATTTAGAGATGAGCTGATAAAGGCAGTGACACTGTTCTGTCGTCACTGAGCTTTTGAGGATTTCAAACCCCTTATTATTAAGTCCTAAATCTCTACCACTGCTTACGAAATGGATGACACCATATCGGTCTCTTTGAGGGAGCCATGGTAACAATAAAAATAATAAACTCAGTCATTTCTCTATGGAATAGGCAGTCCCTGTGCCTTTCTTTCCATGGAGTGGGTGCCTAGTTTGGACTCTCTCACTACACCTGCACTAGGAAGCAATGCTGGATCACGGCTCCTCTCCAGGGTTTTTGCACACTGTCAAACTCTCCATGTGGTTCAGTTGCACAGTTCAGAGCGACTCCCCAGTGGTGTCCCAATGGTGTCCCAGACCTTGCTCAGGACCAGCCTGGGGATGGCAGGGGCAGGGCCATCTCTAACAGACAGAGTGGGTGCAATTACCCTGATCGGGAGGGTGAAATGTAGAACTACAAGAACACAGCCTATGCTGCGCCTCAAGGACAACACAGAGATCCTGTCCCTTCTCGTGGATGGGAACAAGGACTAGAGAGCCAAACTCCTTTCCCTGTAGAGTTATGGCCCTCTGACCTTCTCTGGACGTACACCCCCAGGTGTGCTTCACCTCACCAGCCTTCGGCTGTTTAACCACTCCTTAATTTCCCTCTCAGTAAAGGAACAGAAACAGTACCCTCTAGTGGGCCATCTAAAATAGATGGGGCGAGTCACTAACAGGAGACTTCTGTTGCCATGCACTAATTAAAAAGGGACCAGAAGACTCAGACAACTTTCTTCCCCCAGCTACACTTGGGCAACATGGGTCTCACTTTATGTGATTTTTGCCTCTACCCAGTTAACTGAGTCCTAGGACAAGGCATTGCAATGTGCACGGTGTCAGTGAAACACGTACACTTACTGGTACAAACGTACTAATGCAGTTACCTGTGCCTTTTTGAATCGATTCACTCCTGAATAATTACCTCTGCAGAGGAAAAAGCACGGGGCGGTAGAGGAGGGAGGAAGGGAGGGGCGAAAGGAGTGGTCTAGAGGAATATAGAAGAGTGGAGGTGGGAGGCCGAAGGCCGCGCACGCAGGGACAAAATGGCCGCCTGAGGGCGCCCTCGGGGGCTCGAACCCCCGGGCCCCGCTCCGCGCGCGCCGAGACCGGGACCGGGGGATCGTTCCCGGGGGTCCGGGACCGGGGGATCGTTCCCGGGGGTCCGGGACCGGGGGATCGTTCCCGGGGGTCCGGGACCGGGGGATCGTTCCCGGGGGTCCGGGACCGGGGGATCGTTCCCGGGGGTCCGGAACCGGGGGATCGTTCCCGGGGGTCCGGGACCGGGGGATCGTTCGCGGGGGTCCGGGACCGGGGGATCGTTCCCGGGGGTCCGGGACCGGGGGATCGTTCCCGGGGGTCCGGGACCGGGGGATCGTTCCCGGGGGTCCGGAACCGGGGGATCGTTCCCGGGGGTCCGGGACCGGGGGATCGTTCGCGGGTCCTGCCCGTGCCCGCTGCGGGTTCCGGCCGGTGCCGCCTCTCGCCTGGCGGGATTGGGGCTGGGATCGGGACCGCCGCGGGCGGGAGGAGCCGCTCCGGGGCGTGCGCTGGTGCCGAGTCCGGCGCTGCCGCTCCCGCTCCGGCTGCGGCCATAGCGACGCTGGGATCCCACCAGGGAACGGGACACGGTTCCGCTCGGGCCGGGGGAGCCGAGGCTGTGACGGGGCACGGGCAAGGGAGAGCGACGGCGGTTCCGTCGTGCCTCCGATGCTCTGTGAGCCCGAGCAGCTGCCCGTCTGTCCCTGTGTCCGTGTGTCCATCGGGCAGCGCCGTGAGCACCCCTGGCCCAGGAACTGGCACTGACCGTGCCGCGGGTCAGGCACGGGCTGGTCCCAGCTCTGCCTTCAGCTCTCCCTTCCCTCCATGCCTTCAGAACTCACGGAATTTCAAACAGCGACTTTTTACCTTCCAATCAATAAAATGCAGCTTGTCTGACAGCACCTGCCAGGTGAGATCTGACCCTCTCCTTCCTCTCCCCCCATTGCTCTGGAACTCACACTCTCCAATGGCAAACCCCATGTTTGTGGAAGTCCAGTTGAAATATTTAATCTTTATTTCCACATGGGGAGGGTCCTTTATTTCCACAGGGCCTTGCCACGTGAGTCAAAGCAGGGAAAGACTTGGGATGTTAAAGGTTTTATTGTCATGTGCTCCCCAATACACACACAGCATCAGGAGTGGACACCTGACAGACAGAGCAATGAGCTTGGAAGAAAGGAAATTCAAGGGTCCAAGGATTATCTGCACTGGGGGCTGGAAACCTCTGCTGAGCCATTGCCACTCTTCTTTCCTCTGAGGGACCCCACAGGGGCACCAAGATGTTGCCAGAATTGGATCTTCGGGGCCCCAATCACTTCACAGCATTAAATGGGGATTCCTTACGGGGGGGCAGCAATTGCATGTGAAACTTTAATAGCCCACTGAGAAATGAGAGGCCTGTGACAAAACCCTGTCATCTTTTTAAAGAATACAAATCAACCATTTCTCTACAGCAGTTTAGTAGCTTAAATTTCCATTCTGTCCCTACAACACAGCATCTAATTCCATCTCTGGATTTGATCTTGGCAAAAACAAGAGTCACCTGCCCTCGGCGTAAATACTTAGTACATAAAATACTGTCAAGAAATCCACTTTTTAATAAATATCTGTAGCTCTCACTCCCCTATACAAGTCCTTTACAGCAATGGGCCGGAGGGAGCGTGGCCGGTGGGGCTGAGACAAGGTGGGGATTGGCATAAATTAATGATTGCAGTCGGATGCGCCGTGCTCGGGGAGGTTTGGAGGTGAACCATGCTGGAAAGAAACATCTCTCAGGCCTTGAAATCCATGCTTCCCGTCAGGAAAAAAATCCTCTCTTTGAAGTCTCGGCGGCGCCTGTTCGGCCTCTGGGTGCTGGTTCAGCACGGACGTGGGGGGCAGCTGGGAACCCCTTTGGCCTGGGACCAGGACAGCACTTGCAGTATCTACAGGGTTTCTGTATTTCAGAATCAAGCATCGCACTGATGATGCCCCAAACCCCCCAAGCCCCTTGTGCCAGCAGTTTAAATCCTATGCAAATGAAACCCCTCCTTTTATGCTAATGCTGCTTTAAACACCAGCCCCTTGGAATGTCCATGGAGCAGAACAACACAGGTAAACAGTTGTGTGACAGCACAAAACTCTTATGATAACCCTGATTTCCTGCCCTGTCCAGGATTTACTCAACGGCTGCAAAGGTGCTTGTGCAACATCCCTTTCCAGGGATAGATGAGCCAAACAAGTCCTGAGGGCTCCCTTGGTCTGTGGCAAAGGTGTTTTGTCAAGTGTTGCTGTCTGGTCCCGCCTGCAGTGGGGCGTTTCCTCCAGGTGAGTGTTTGGAACCCAAAATCATGGGGGAGGGTGAGGTCAGGGCCACCTTTGGGCCCAGACTGGACGGAGCCCTCAGTGACTCCTACTCCCTGCCAGGAATGTTATTTGGGTTTCCTCTGTGCATCCCAGCTGGGCAGGGAACAGAGGGCAGGAGGAGGCCGGAGCAACAGAAAGTGAACCAGCACTTCTTGTCCTTTGTATATCCAGGGGATGAGCTGTGCCCTGCAGTGTCCTGCCCGGGGCACACAGTGCACTCCAGGTGTCCAGAGCTCAGGGAATCCCCCCCGGAGTGCCCAACAAAGCCCCGTTTCCATGGCTGTCCTCCAAAAGCCTTCCCGTTCATCGATCCACAGGGCCAGCCCTTGGAGGCCATCGCTTCCCAAGGTGCTCCTCGCTGTTCCCGGAGGTCCTGGCTGGTGCAGGAGCCCCTGCTGCCATGTTCTCCGCCGGCACTGGAGGCAGAGCCCTGCGAGGACCAAGGCTGCTACTGTTGGCAGGGGCCTGGTGCAGCAAAGCCAAGAGCCGGGAAGTCTTCCCAGCCGGAGGAGCTCTCCGGTGTGGAACACCGGTGCCTTTAGGCTCGGGGCTGGAGGGTGGGATGTGCCACTCAGCCTCCTCTGTCGCTGGAGGCGGCCGGCCCAGGGAACTGCTCCTGGGCAGGAGCTGAGCCCGGGGGGGCACCGCAGGGGTGGGCACTGGCGGAGCCCTCGGCAGGCTGCCCGGATCCAACGGTGTGTCCCTCTCGGTCCCGGCAGCTCCGGGAGGTGGGAAGGTGCTGCTGCGCTGCCCGCAGGATTCGCAGCACAGCTTGTGGTAGCCAGGGATGGAGCAGTACCGGGCCAGCACTTCCATCTGGCAGAAGATGGATTTGTCTCCCAGGCAGGGCTCATCTGCAAAACAAACATCCTGGGGATGGGAACCCAGCCATGGGCACTGGGATGCCCTGGCAGCACTCAGATGGGCACAGATAAAGGTCTGCCCGTGGCTCCTCAACCATGGGTGGCTCTGAACAAGCCCCCTGAGAAACTTTGCCTTGCTCAGACCCCACCAACACCCCAAAAATACCCAAAAACCCCCGCTGGCAGTTGGAAATGTCAGCACATTGTGTTTGCAAGGAACTCAAGACAGCAATTTCCAGTGCCAAACCTCCTAGAGCTCCCACACACCAGCCAGGTACATCCTACCCACCCCAAATCCCTGCCCTTCCAGCCTGAGGACGTCATTCAGCAGCAGCATTAAAGCCAAGGGAACCTTCACTCACAAAAATTAAATCCCAAGCAAGAGCCTTTGGAGATGCCTTAAAATAAAAGATTGTTGTTGCATAAAGTTCTGTTTGGATGAAGTTTGGAGTTTTCCAGGGACCAGCTGGAAGTGCAGAACTAATGGAAAGTGTTACCAGATGGGTCAGACCTGAGGTGCCCTGAAAGCAGGCATGTGCATCCCTTTCCTTCAGGAAAAGAACTTCCAGAGGCCACTCCCGAGGCTCTGAAATGAAATCAGCTTCTTGCATGAAGCAACGTCCTCACCTGTGCACAGGTGCTGCCTCACCACGTGCCAGGAGTGTGTACAGCCACCCCCTTCTCCTGACTTAAAATACCAACTGGAGTCTGACATCGGGGGGGTGAAAATCAGCTGAATTCCAGGGAAGTTGGTACCAAGTTCCCCCAGGGACATCAGTGGGGCTCGGGGACGACGGTTATCATTAGCAGATCCTATGGAATATAAACCTGTCCTTGCCCTGATCCCAATGAGCTTCCTTGAATCCTTTGCTGGTTCCTGACAAACCTGGCATTAAAGCAGCAGTTCTTCAGGGGAATATCCGTGCTCCATGAGGCACTGTGAGGCTATTTCAGCAGGCATTCAGCATGGAATTCTGGGCTATAGGTATAATTCCTCTAAACTAGCAAAGCTGGTACTGAAACCCAAATCTTGGCACCACATAGAAAACAATGTTTTTCCTGCTGCTGCATCAGTGAAAGCCCCTGGGCTGGGAAATTTTGGCAGTCAAATGTGCAGAATTCTATAAATCGCAGTAAGCAGCATCACCCCAAAACAACAAACCAAGTCCCAAACAATTCCTTTTGCCTTTCAGTAGTGACAGTGACCCCTATTTGGTCCTGTTCTCCCACGGTTTATTTTGGGGTATCAGTTTACACTGGTTTAGATTCCATGACTCCGCCCACAGGGCAAAGATTTGCAGTTGTGCTTTTCTACTTCCAGCAGGTTCTGAAGCAAGTCATATACTCACATAATCCCTTTTTTTTATTTTTTAGGTGAATTCTGCACAATTCATCCCCCATCCCCTCTCCTGGCCAGGCTGGTGGGCAGCAGCTGGATCTGTTCTGGCAGAGAACACCCTGTACCTGCCAAGAGCTCTGGCTGTTTTTCCTTCCAGCTCCTGATCAGTGTCAGGGCCACCGTGAGGGAGTTAAAATCCAGATAAACCCCAAATCCTACAGAGTGAATAATCCAAAGGAAGAAATGCATTGTGGTCCTAAAAAGCTTAAAAATCTGCTAAAAATTCTATGAGAACAATATAATGGGATTCCCTGGAACCCTATTAATGCTCTTGGTTCCATTTCTTCTGTATTTTTATTCCCTCAATCAGCAGCTTGTAGAACTTATCCTGGAATTTAGAGGTTGAGAAGGGTTTGCTTTGGATGGACTTTCACCTCTGGCCCCAATTTGTGCAAGCACAACTTGGGCTAACACAGTTAAACCCTTTTTGTGCACATGTACAGGAGAGACCCCAGCGTAGGGAAGCACCGACTGCCCGGAGCTGTGACATCCAGAATTTGCCAGACCGAACACAGGAAAAAAGCTGGATTCTGTGCCTGACCCCACTCCCAGCACTGTGCTCTGCAGGCAGGAACTGCTCCCCCCACTGCAGCCCTTCCACCCATTCTCTTACCGTCACAGGGAGCGAGCTGGCAAACCCTCACGGACTCGGGCCGCTCCCCGTCGCACCGGTCCCCAGCACGGCACAGGACCTGCCGGCTCTCGGTCCCCTCCCCGCAGGTCACTGAGCACTGCCAGACACAGAGGGGACAGCTTAGGACTGACCACACAGATGAACTAAGGTCTTCCCTCCAAAACGGTCGTTGTACCTTACAGAGGAACTCAAGTTTTACCCGAAAATTTTCCCTACCTGTCCACTACCAATTACCTCACTTTTACCTCAAAATGTTCATTCTCTGCCCTGGAGATTATCTCAAATTTAACCCTCAAAATTTTCCACACATGTCCACTACTGATTACATCATTTTTACCTCAAATTATTTATTTTCTACCATGTAATTACCTCAAATTTAACCCTAAAAATTTCCCTTCCTGTGCACTACTGATTGCCTTAGTTTACCTCACAGTAGTCATTCTGTGTGCTATAGACTACCTTGAGTTTAATTCAAAAGTTATCCCTCCTACTGATTACTTCATTTTTACCTCAAAATATTTGCTTTCTAAACTGGAGATTACATCAAGTGTTTCCCCTCCCCAAAATTCCCTACCTGTCTGTGAATGACTGCCTCAGTTTACCTCAAAGTGTCCCTTCTCTCCCCTAGAGATCACCTCAGATTTTCCTGCCAAATTTTTTCCCCTCATTTTTACCTCAAAATATTCATTCTCTACCCTTAGATTATTTCAGGTTTTATCCCCCAAAACTTCCCTAACTGTCCACACCTGATTACTTCATTTTTACCTTAAAATATTTATTTTCTACCCTGGAGATTACCTCAAATTTGACCCCTCAAAATTTCCTGACCTGTTCAATACTGATTGCTCGAGCTTACCTCAAGACGTTCAGCCTCTCCCTAGAGACTGTCTCAGATTTTAGCCCCAAAAGTTTCTCTACCTGTGCAGTACTGATTGCCTCAGTTTACCTCAAAATGTTCATTCTCTGCACTACAGACTACCTCAAGTGCACTCTAAAATAATTTTCCCTCCCAGTCCCCTACCAATTACCTCATTTTTACCTCAAAATGTTCATTCTCTACCCTACAGATTATTTCAAGTTTTACCCCCAGAAATTTCCCTCCCTTTTCACGACTGACTGCCTCAGTTTACCTCAGTGTGTTCATTCTCTCCCCTAGAGATTACTGAGCACTGCCAGACACTGAGGGGCGGTTCAGGACATTCCGTGTCACAGCACTGTGCAAGATCCCCATGTCCCAGCCAGCCCCTGGCACCGCTGCCCACCTGGGACCAGGGTCCAGCTTTCCAAGGCGCAGGACACGGTGCCCGGTTGCAGGACCGGCGGCTCTCAGGGCGATCCCCGCTGCAGAACTTGGCGTGGACGGAGCGGTTGGTGCCGTCGGGAAGAGGCTGGATGCAGCGCACCGTGCGTAGCTGGTAACCAGAATTCCCACAGGTTTTGGTGCAGTGTTCCCACTCATCTGCTGCCCAGCTAAAAGGAAAATGGAGTCAGATACCATCATACCTGTTGTCCAGCTGTGTCTGCCCTATCCCTGGAAGTGTCCAAGGCCAGGTTGGATGGGGCTTGGAGCAACCCGGTCTAGTGGAAAGTGTCCCTGCCAATGGCAGGGGAGTGGAATGAGATGAGCTTTAAGGTCCTTTCCAACCCAAACCATTACAAGGTTTTATGATATAAATGTATATATATATTTAAAATATACTAAAACCAGCCAGTCAGATCAGTACCTATTCTTACACAGGTTGAAATTCCCCTACATATTTCCTCCAGGAAATATATCCTCCAGGCTGGAAAGCCGTCAGCATCCCACCACATTCATCCCACCCAACGTGGCTGGAGCAATCCCTGCTCTCTGTGCCTGGCTGCACTCACAGGGGCTCCGTGCACTCCTGCAGGTTGCACATCCTACGGATGGGCTTTGGCTTTTTGCTGCCTTCACAGAAGCTGCGATGAACCATCTTGTTGTCACTCTTCCTGCGGCACCCGTATTTGGTGTACTGGAACCCTGGGAAACGTGTCAGAGAAATCAGGAAAACCACATCCTTGTCAGAATGTTTGGTTAAATAGGAGTCTCCTGGCCTGTTAAATGGGTTTACAAGACAATATATTTTGGGGTTTGCATTGCCCATTCTTTGCCTAAGAGCCATGGACACGCCATGAATACAAATATTCAGGAGCATCAGTGTCTGAGTATGGACTTCCAGAGTGGCTTTGGGGGCTGAATTTAAACATCTAAAAAGGCCTTTTCCTTCCTAAGCTGGAAGTGTGACACTTGGGAACAATCAGGCACTTCAGGCATTTAACAGCTTGTGCTGCTGTTAAAAAAGGAAGGCCAAGGATCCTAAATCATTCCCTTCCCCCAGTTTTTTTTGTAATTTGTCCCTTGTTACAGGTGCCCCATCCCTTGCTCACCTCCACCACAGGGTTTGGAGCACTGGGACCAGCTCTTCAAGGCCCACTCGAAGGTGTCCGTGTCCTCCCGCAGCACGTTGTTGCTGTGGATGGTCGGCACCGAATCCTCGTGGATGATGTATTTGTAAGTCAGGCTGGATCTGGTGTCGTTCTCCCGAGGAATGATCTACAAATAACCAGAATAAACCCAGAGCTGTTACTGACTGCTCTGCAAAGCAAAGACACTGAGCTCTGAACGATCCTTAAGGTCCTTTGAGACCCCCAGCCCTGTGTTCCCAGGGCTCGACGCGTCACCCACCAGCACCACCACGGCGTCGTGCAGAGGCCCGTCCGTGTGCAGCGTTTCGATGTCGTCCTCGATGCTGTATTCCCACTGCACGCCCAGGTCGATGAAGGACCGGGATCTGGCCTCCTCCCCTTTCCCGTTCAGGATATAGTGTCCTGTAGCCTGGTTCTTGATTGCTGGGAGGAGTGAGAGCAGAGCCTGTTGTGCCTCCACCACAGCAACTGGGGTAGCACAGGGAGGGGTATTTCCATCAAGTTGTGAAAATACCAGATTTTCATCCCATTTTAATTTCCTCTATGCACACAGGGGTGTCCCAGATGCTAAAATCCATAAGCAAAGAACTGAGGAATTGGAGCCTGGGTTTGGGTTCCTGCAGCACACCTCAGCAGCCAGGCACAGTGGGGATTACTATAATGATGATTAGGAGCCAATTCATTAGCAATCTGAATCACAGAATGGTTTTGATTGAAAGGGACCTTAAAGATTATCCCATTCCAACACCCATTTAAATATGGACTCCCATTCTTTTCTTCCGGACAACTTTTTCCAATACACCATAATAATAATTATTGATACTGAATTTGATTCATCCCAGCAGTGCCCATTTCCATGCGACAATCTTTGGTTAGTAAACATGTAAACTCGGGTCAGTTTAATATTTTGGAGGATTTAAATGAGCAGTAGTTGTTTGCTGAAGTGTGAGACTGCAGGACTCAGCCCTGACCATGCCATTTGGAAAGCCCACATTTACCCAACCCCTTCTCTGGGTTCTCTCATCCCTTGGGTTCTCCGTCAAGAGCACCCTGTGCTTCTCCTCGAGGCTCTAACCAAACCTGAGCAGAGAAACACTTACCAAGGAAGTGAGGAGAGGCCTCGTCTTCTTGGATAAACACATGTCGAGCCCCAGGAGGGATATCAAACATCTTAAGGTACCCTTTGGCACGTGCAGGGTCAGTGGAGGCAGCAGGGATGGAAAGAGAAAGGAACAGCCATGGTCAGGAGCGCAGGGCACGGCCCAGCTCTGCTTGCAGGAGAGGGATCCACCAGCAACCGAAGAGCAGGGCTGGGAGACACGGAGCCAATCGGTTTGGAACGTGTGGGACAAGCCCTCCCTGGGCTCTTCTCTTCCAGGGAGAGAAGAGACACCAGTTACAGAACAATTTGCCACTTTCCAGCTAGGAGCAGTTTAATATTTACAGCCATGCTGCTACAGGCTGGATCTATCCACGACTCAGGTAAAAAGATGTTCCCTGTGTTCCTCGGCACATCAGAGCACGAACACAAATATTCCTCATAATTTTCCCAAATTACTCCTCAGCCAGGCTGTTGGGTTAGAAGCCCTTGCACTGACCCAGTGTGTTTTCCGCCTCCTTTGTCCCAGACAGGGGAACACTGTGAGCTCCTCTGGGCAAGGGAAGGGATCCTCTGCTCTTCCCTTAAACAGAACGCTTGGAATTAATGCTCTGGGAGACCAATCCAGTCATTCCAGTGACTGGGAGTCACTTTACCAGCATAAAATATAATTTACATTGTGGTCAAATGCATTTACAGCACATCTGGACCCATCTGGCCAAGATGACCAGTCAGTGGAAGTCAGACCAGTGACAATCCGTGGGGGAATTTTAAGTTGCATACTTGCAGATTTCATTTTCCAGAAACTCAAACTCTTTTTGGCACTTCTTGCTTAAATGTTTCCCTGTTGGAAGAGGTCAATTAGTCTTTTTAATGACCAGATTGACAGAGTCAAGGAAAAGCAACCACCATTCCCTGAACACCTCCACCACTTGCATATCCACCCGTAGTCAGGGGCTGATGGGCAGCAGCATTCCCTGAATGGGATCAAGGGGTAGTGTTAAGCCCATTACTGTCAAAGTTTGAAGGACTCTGGCATTATCCTGTGTCCATGAGTGTGACACAGAGCCCAGAGCCCCCAGGAACTCCAGCCAGCTGCAGGCAGATGTTATTCCTACCGAGCTTTTTGGGAGTGCGGGTGAAGGTCCCCTTCACGGTCCGGCAGTGGGAGTCATCCCCGCCGCAGACCCCGCACTGATCCTCGGCCTTGTTGGAGCCAATTTCCTTGTCACAGCCCACTTTCTGCAGAAAAAAAGCAAAGACTGGATGTTAGGAGAGAATTCTTCCCTGTGAGGGTGGGGAGGCCCTGGCACAGGTTGCCCAGAGAAGCCGTGGCTGCCCCATCCCTGGAAGTGTCCAAGGCCAGGTTGGACGGGGCTTGGAGCAACCTGGGCTAGTGGAAGGTGTCCCTGCCCACGGCAGGGAGTGACACTGGATGGGCTTTAAGGTCCCTTCCAACCCAAATCAGTCTGGGATTCCATAATACGAAACAATCAGTGGAAGAGAAGTGGAGCATTTCCATGGGACTGGGCTGTGCTGTTCTCTAATTTAATTTAAATCTCCAGGGATTATGAGGAACGCGATGCTGCAAATATGGAATTTAGAGACATCTGCCAAGTCTCTCTCTGCCCTTGAGCTGTTCCCATTGGTTGTCCCTGGGGCAGCTGCCACTCACCACACATTCCCCACGGACACAGATGCTGTAGGGATCCTTGTAGGAGCAGCGAGTCCCATCATGCACCGGCTGCTTCATGTGAGCCACATCCCCCGTTTCCCTGGACTGGCAGTACAGGTGACATCTCTTGGGAGCTGTGGAGCCAGGGAAGAGAAGGAACTGCATGGATGGACAATGATCCAGGTGTGCTCCCGAAAAATATCCCGCTGACAGAGCGAGGAGTGAGAAGGGACAGGCAGGTTTGGGAATGGGGATGGGGGCAGAGCGGTGGGACACGGTGATTCGGGGAGGAACAAGTGGGGAATTTGGGGGGGGATGGGGAGGTCTGGGGAGGGAACCCGGGGATTTAGGGCAAAACTGGTGGTCAATTTTAGATATAAATGGGCAATTCTGGAGTCATAAAGGTGAATTTTAGGGATAAACTGGGGGATTTGGGGGTAAAACTGGGGATTTGGGAGTAAAATTCGAAATTAGGACAAACCTCATGATTTTGGATGTAATTCTGCAATTTTGGGGCAAAAAGGTCAATTTTGGGAATAAAGGGGCATGTTTGGGGGAAAATGGGGGATTTAAAAGTAAAAAGGGCAAATCTGGGTTAGAGGGAAATTGGAGGTTAAAATCAGGGATTTAGGGCAAATCTGGTGATTTTTAGACATAACTGAAGAACTTAGGGTCAAAAGTGTCAATTTTAGGGATAAATGGGCAATTTTGCGTGGGAAATGGGTAATTTAGGTTAAAAATTGGAAATCTGGGTCAGAGCAGGGAATCTGGGGGTTAAAATCTGGGCTTTAGGGCCAAACTGGTGATTTTCAGATAAAACAAACAGAGGGGGTAGGGGGGAGAAGCCAATTTGCTTTTCTGGGAGTTCTGGGCCTGTCCCTGCGATATCCAGGCCAAGGGGAATGGCTTCAAACCCTTTCAAGTGGCACTAAAGGCTCAGAGCAGGACGCACGGTCGGGGTGCTCGTAGGGCAGCCAGTGGTGCCGGCTGCCCCGGAACTCCAGGTGGGAATTGCGCTGCTGGCACTGCTGTGCCCTGAAGTCCTCAAAGTGCTTCGGACACTCCTCGGTGCTGCACAGCTGGAACTCAAAATTGACCCCGGCGCAGTCATCACCTCCGTTGATGGGCCTGTGCGGAGAAAACATTCCAGAGACTCTCATTAGGGAGAAATTCTTCCTTGTGAGGAGAGTAAGGCTCTGTTTAGGTGAAATTTAACTTATGGAATCCTCATCTTTCAGAAAATCAGATTTATTTTCAGGTAATTTAAGCCTGGCTCCTGAGATAACTATTCAGGTTAAAACTGTAGCCTTTCCCATAGTTCCTTCGAGAGTAAAACTCTATATCCATTTATCCAGGCCCCACAGTTCCAGTGGGATTCTGAGCACCCTGGGGGGCTTGGTACTCTTTCTGACAATTTCCAGGGTGACCAATACATATTATTTACAACATCTCCCTCTGCATGATGTGTTCACCCACTTCTATTACATTCCAAGGCTTGCTTCCCATTTAATTCTTTACAGAGCCCAAAACATGTGACATAGAAATATGTCACACGAAAAAAAATAAATAAAACTCCATGTACTCTTAATACAGCTCTGGTGTATAGCTAATAATAATTAATGCAATATAGCTCTACTGTATTAAAAAAAGTATATAATTATATCCAGTGGAAGGTGTCCCTGTCTACGGCAGGTTTGGAATTGGATGGGCTTTAAGGTCCCTTCCAACCCAAACCATTTCATGATTCTATGATTCTGTGAAATTCTTTGATTCCACGAAAATGGTCCAATTTCCAGGGTCCTGAACAGAATCTCCACCCGAACCCTAATTACCATTTCAAATGGCCCCTCCCTGGACCCCCAGGAGGGTGCAACCCCCAGACCTACATTGGGTTGTTGCACTGGCGCGTGCGGAAGCGAACCCCAGTTCCACAGGTCCGGGAGCAGGAGCCAAACTTGGTCCAGGGTCCCCAGTGTCCATCCTGCTTCAGCTGGTTGGTGTTCTTCCACATGCAGTGACCTTTGTAGCACCACTGAGGGAATTGGGGCAGGAAACAGGTGAGAACAGACACAAAGCCCAAATCAAACACATCAATCACAGTACAGGAACATTTTGCTGCTGCCTGGGGCACGCTCAGATGGTAAAAGTGACTCTCCAATATCCCAAAAGACAGGGAATTTGCTAAAAAAACAGGTATTTGAGTATAATTTTATAACTAAAAATGGACTGGCAGCAGGACACCCACTAATGGGGATATTAAAGAGAAAAATCAAGTGCTACTCCTCAGCCTACACAAACATTTGCCACATGGGGTCTGGACCACAAGCTCTGAGCAGCCACCCCACAGGAATGGCATCATCTGCATCCTTGGATTCCTAAAGATACTTGATAGACACTTTGCAGGAAAGAACCCAAAAAATATAACAAAAAGGTCACAGAATGGGTTACACCTCCATTGGGGTTTCTATGCCCAAAACGTGCGACAGCAGACCTTGTACAGCTCATGGAATATCCTAGTGGGAAAGCACAGCCTCCTCTCTTCCCATCCTCTCGCTCAACCCAAGAGAGGCTGAGCAATTCCCTCTCTCTGTGCCCTTTACCTCAGATGAACAACACTGTTGTTTTTTTTCCCCAAGACAAACACAGTGCAAAGCCCAGACTCACTTTTCCAGGGGCACATTCCGTGCCGTCGAGGGGAGGTCCTTTCTTGGTCTTGCAGAAATAGGGGTTGTCGGGGTGGCTGCACCACAGCTGCTTGCATGGATCAAAGGTTCGGAACTGAAACCCACAAGAGGCGGAAGATGAAATGCAGAACCTGAGGTTACTTAAGAGTTTTTGGGATAAGGATCCAACCCACTCCGTCAGTCCATCTCACACACACCAGTGAGTCCCGTATCTTCAGGGCAGTGCTTATTCCCTGCATCCCCCAGCCCTGAGCCAGTGACAAGAAAGGAGACAGCCAGAAGTGGGAGGAAACTGAGGGGTTTTTTCCTTTTCTTCCTCGGGATCACTCCCACCAGTCTGTGTCATGTGGACTGTGCTGCCACCTACTTGCCCATTATCCCACAGGACTGGGTTTCCCCCATAAATATCCCTCTGCTCTTCAGAGTTCTGTTTAAATACTCCATTAACCGCCCTCCAATGATTATTATTCAGTTATGACACACTGCAGCTCCCCAGTCAGGCCAGACCCCCAGGACGTACCGCTGTGCACATCCTGTAGCCCACACCGAAGTCGAAGCGGCACTGCTCGTCCATGGAATAGTTGATGCCTGGCAGCTCAGGAAGCTTGGGCCAGTCGTGCTCGAAAGGGTCGTCGAGCAGACAGTCGTAAGAGCTGTGGGAAGAGACACAGAAAAAAACCAGCATGAGCAAATGTATACTCCTAATTCCTGCCCCGTCCTGGGAAGTGTCCACGGCCACGTTGGACAGGGCTTGCAGCAACCTGGTCTAGTGGAAGGTGTCCCTGCCCATGGCAGGGGGTTGGAAACACATGAGCTTTAAGGTCCCTTCCAACCCAAACCATTCTGGGATTCTATGACAGAGGCCTATTCCAAATCCCACTGGAGTCAGAGGGGTCTTTCCACTGCCTTTCCATCCCCAGCAGATGGGCCGTGGGACAGCCCCCAACAAGCACACAGCCTTCATAGGTTAGAGCCTTTCTAACACAGATTTGAAGGGGAAAAGGGCCTGAAAAAACAGGGATCAGAGCCCGGGTGCAGCGGGGAGGCCTTACTGGATGTATCTCCTGAGCTCCTGGCCGCTGCAGCGGGACCAGTGGTAGCGGTGGAAGGCGGCCTGCACCAAGGGGGCCATGACACTGCCCATCGCCGTCTCGTCCCCACATCTGTTCCCTTGCCCGTCGTGCTCCATGCCCAGCCTGGAACAAAGAATACCTCTCAGAGCCACTGCGACACAACTGTAAGGAAACAGCTCTCCAAGAGGTGCCAAGTCTGACTCGCCAGCCCAGGGAGCTGGGGAGGAGACAGCAGTGAAGGACGCACAGCCAGCTCCTGTCTCTGCTGGGCCTCCCAGGTGCCTTCCTGACCTTTCCCTCACCCCAGACAAAACAAGTTCCCCCTCTCTCTCCCCTTCCTTTCTTCCACCACTTGTCTCTTCATTGCCTCAACCACTGCTGCATTCCCAGGGGACAGAAATAAAACCAGGACAGCTTCCATAGAGCCATTAAACCCAACGCCCCTGGAGCAAGCAGGAGGTGCAGCAGCACGTTTTGGTGTGATCTGATTGCAAAAGTTACACTTACACGTGCCCAGTCTCATGAGCAACAACAAAGGCTGACGAAAACCCGTCCTCGTGGTTGAGGGTGCAGCTCCGGACCGGGTGGCACATGCCCGTCACAGGAGCGTATCCTATGGAGAGACACCAGGCCTGAGTCTTGTGCCCAGGACGTGGATTTTAAATGAGACCCCCCAATAAACTTCTTTTTCCTCAGGAAAAGCTAAAATTGCTCTGAGTCCAGGGCAGCCTGACCAGTGCCTGCCCTGATACAACCCACACCTGGGGAATCCTGCCCATTAGCATTAGTTCCCTGAGTCCCAAAGATGGATGCAGGTGTCAAAGTGGCTGGGATGTCTATAAACAGAAATCTGCAGTGAAGGATGCAATAATATAAAGGGAAGTGGAACACCAAGTACATCGAATGTTCCCAGTGATCCCTGCAAACACAGGAGCTTGGAGAGAGTAAAGAGGTGGTGATTTACAACTCTCAAGTAAAAAAATTAAACCTACAGTTGGACATAAAGGGCAAGGACTCGTGGCAAGGTCTCCTTGCTTTTGAAAAAGTCTGTGGAACAAAGAGCAGGAAGTGCTAACAATGCAATTCCCAATTTTTCCTCTTTTCTGGCAGACGCCAGCCAAGAAACACCGAGCCCAGAGAGCTCTGCTCCAGGTCAGCTGCATTACCTTGCATACCAGCGGGCCCAAAATCTTGCCTGGTTAAGAAGATGGCATGGTCGTGGTGCTCGGCGTGGCCGGGGTCCGCCTTCTGCTGCTGATAGGCCCAGCGGCACACGTTCTCCAGGCTGCGCGAGGGGTTCCCCCTTTCGATCAGGCTGATGGACTGAAGGAGCAACACCTTAGAGCCAGCAGCTCCACCCACAGGCAGGGAATCCACACAGAGGGTGGATTTTCTGCCCAGGAGCTGAAGGTGGAGAGCCGGCTCACTGACCTTTGCGTACCCCAACATGATCATTCGGACCAGCACGACGTTGATGTGAACGCCCAGGGACTCGTCGTGGTAAATCTCATTCACCTGAGGGGAAAAGAGGGAAAATTAAAAAGAAAACAACCCACTGATGACACCAAAGGAACTTCCAAGGCCACAGAGTAGTTATTTCAAGTGCTTGTTCCACTACAGTCCTCTCAGAGGAGGATTCAAGTCTCGGATCACTTCCACACACTGAGGAATGTAGACTCACTTCCCATCACCACATACCCCTCATATGGAACTTTGGGAAGCACATGTCAAGGTTCCCTTCTAAGTTTCACGGATCAGGGCCCAAAGAAAAGGGTACCGGGGAAAAGACTTGAAGTTCAAACGCTGCAAATCACAGAATCCCAGACTGCTCTGGGTTGGAAGAGACCTTAAAGCTCATCCTGTTCCACCTCCCTGCCACGGGCAGGGACACCTTCCACTAGACCAGGTTGCTCCAAGCCCCATCCAACCCAGCCTGGAACGCTTCCAGTGCTTCTTGTTTTGAAGTGTAGTTTTTTAGAAAGCAATTAATGCTGCTGCCCTACTTTTTCAAGATCAATTAGAATTCTGTGGTCACTTCTGTACTAGAAAGAGGCCTTGTGGAAGGGAAGTTAGAAAAACAGAATTATGCAGATAAACCAAAAATTGTCCTTCTTTGAGGCCCTTCCCTGTGTCTGGGAAGGTGAGAAATATCCTGGCACCAGAGTGTGAAACATCTGCAGGTCCTCAATGAAGCTCCTCATCCCCCTAAAAACAAAATAAATATTATGCTGTGGGCAACTGGTGAGAAACAAACACCCCTGTTCAGAGGCTGGTGGGTTTGAGCAGGAGTTAGAAGGGTTTCTATTTTTCAGTCTGGCTAAACAGAACTTCCCTCTCCCCCTCAGGGAAAAAGGTCACTGGGAGGTTTCCAGACTGTGGACACGAGGATTTGAGCCCACGGTTTAAACATGCAATCCCTGGGGCTGAGAGCAGTGGCAGCAGGACAGTGGGACAGGGAATGAGCACAGAGCTCAGGCTGCCTGTCCTGTGAAGCAATTATCCCAAAGGTCAGTTATTCCTCTCCTATTTCCTTCCCTTCATGCAGAAGCATCACTCCCACAAAGGGCTGGGCCAGGAAAAACGTTCACAACTTCCCCTGTGCCAAGAGACAGCAGGGAGTTTCCCAGAGACAGGAGTGACTTCCCTGGAGACAAAAAGGACCCTGGAATTGACCTAAGGTTTCAAGTCTTCAAGATTTCCCCATAACCCCCTTTTATCCCATCCTCTGGATGGCTTTGGGCAGCTGGGTGTCAGCTCACCCTGGCTCTGGCCCCACAGCTGCTCCCAGCAGATGGAGCCTCAGGCATGTAAAAAACATGGAAGTGGTTTGGGACATGGATCAGCCCTGCTGCTCACAGAGTTATAAAGGTTTTAAAACTAAGAAGACAGTATTCTGCAATAATGTGTAATGGAGCTTTATTGTTGATGTACCACGGGGTACGTGGGGAAAAAGAAATTATTTCCTGAGTTATTCTGGAAAACACATTAGTTGGGTTAAATTCATATAGGGATAATTTTTTCCTCTCAAATTCTAAATTCTCAAATTTAGATTATTTGCAAGCCTAAGCGATTATTTAAAAAAAATTCCAGGAATGAAAAGGTGAGTGTAAAACATACAAGAATATTCCCATGTCCATCAAATCATTATCAATGAGAAGCCTATTCCTCGTCTCTGTCCTTAGGAGGCTGTTTTTCTTTCCTGAAAAACCTTACGATCCCACAGTTTCTAAGACAGATCTTCTACTTGTACTACTGGGAGGTTTGCTCTGTCAAGAGAGCCACGGGGGGTTTAGAACACTTTTTTTCTCTACATGTTTATTTTTTGGCCAGGTTTTCTCTAGAACTGCGTTGCAGGAGGAGCTCGGAATTACTAGAAATGGATCAAGTTTACATTTTTTCCTTACTGTTTTTCAACTATTTCCAAATTCTTGGAATTACCCTCGAACGTGTCATGCCCTAGAAAACTACTGTGAAAAAGATGAAAGAGAGGAACATCCTGAAAAGAGAAATCCATATTCAGTAGCAGCCCAAATGATCCCATTGCTATTATTCCCAAGCCAGGTGCTCCTACAAAAGCTCCCAAGAGCAGCTCCCATTCCCAAACAAGCTGCAGCAGATACTCACGATGTTCATGAGGGTGAGGAGGTAGTTTTGGACGTGTTCTTTGCCGTGGAATCTGACGACGGAGTCGTCCACCCCCAGCAGCACCTCGATGTTGTGGTCGTCGTCTCCCGCGTGCCGGCGGCGCCGCAGGGTCTCGTTCAGCTGCTGCTCCACGTGGCCGTGCAGGGAACTCAGTACCCCCAGGAGGGACCCTGCAATGACAGTCAGGCATCAGTCGAGTCCGAGTTCCTGTCCCATCCCTGCAAGTGTTCAAGGCCAGGTTGGACGGGGCTTGGAGCAGCCTGTGCCCCTGTGGCTGTTCCTGTGTCCCAGATGGGAGCATCCCCATGTCCCCACTCTTCCCATAAATGCACAGGGATCTCCCTGTTCTACTAAATCATCCGAGCAACCAGCATCCAGCAGATGGAGAGGAACAGTCCTGCCTTCCACTCGTGGTGTAACGGGGCACTTCCCCCAGCAACGGCACAACTTGCAGCCCTTCTCCTCCACGCTGGAATTCATGAATGCCAAGGCTGCAAGTCCACAAAGTGTCCCTTCCCCTGTTTTCAGTGCTCTCAAGAATGCCCACCCTGGGACAGCACACCAGTGGGAAAATCACAGACTAGCTCCACTTCCAAAAGTTGCTGCAGCTGGTGAAGCTGCCAAGCACAGCATCCAAGTGAAACCCAGCTGAGAAGTGAAGCAGTGGGCCCTTTCCCTAACTGCCGTGCCCTGTCCAAAAAATACCGGCTAACACAAGGGGTTGATCCGTTCTCTTGTCTGTTTTCCATAACCCAGCACTTCAGTGCCTTCAGGGTCAAACAATGAGGATCGATCCCAGGTTACATGTACTGCCAGTAGCTCTGTTTCAAAGGCTGCAGCGTGCATCCATGGCCAAGCACTTAACAGAACACAAGAGATCTAAGTCCATCGAGTCCAACCACTCCTACAGCACTGTCAAGGCCACCACTAACCCATGCCCCCAAATGCCACATCCCCGTGGCTTTTAAATCCCCCCAGGGATGGTGACACCACCACTGCCCTGGGCAGCTGTGCCAGGGCTGGACACCCCTTTCTCCGAAGGCATTTTCCCTCATGTCCAATCTAAACCTCCCCTGGCACAACTTGTGGCTGTTTCCTCTTGTCCAAACATTTGTTACTTGGGAGAAAGACAACACATGAGGCAACAGTGAAGAAACACACAGAACCAGTCTGGCTGTTTGGGGATTTGGGCTAGACAGACTAATCCGTGCTAATCTCATTCTGGAATTAGCTGGCTCGTTATGTCTTCCTTTTTTATTTTGCTGGTCACCTGCATCACTTACATCCCGATGGTATCAGCAGGAACAGGTCAGCCTGTGCTCTCGTGCCAGGGGAAATGGTTATTCTGGGTTACAGCACATCTTTCCTGGAGTGTAACTGTGGAAGAATGGAACTACAGCTCTTTCTGTGCTATTAAAGAAAGCCATGATCTGCCCAATTCTAATTCCATCGACGCTGTCATCAGCCAAACCTCTCTGTACCTGAAGAGAACCCTCAGCATTGCTCACATGGGAGACTCTCACCATCTTATATTGTAAAACACATGGGCTGAATTCTATGCTACAAATGACAGTGATAGCAGCACTATTCCTTATATATATATATATATATATACACACACACACGCCGCCCCTTAAATCTATCTCTGTATATATGGTCCTCCTATGTGCTTACTTGCTCAATTGCCTAATTTAGCCTTTTCCTGAATATAGAGATAGGAAAAGTGTCTAGGGAAGATCCACACCTTCACTAACTCAGAATTAAACTAATGAGAAATCAGTTTGGAACCAACTGAGATCAATTTTAAGTCCCTTGCCAAAGAGTGTGTTAATGTATAAAGAGTCCCTAAGGACAGATGTGTTCTGCAGCTACTAAAAAATTCCATTCTGCAGTTCTCAAAGTAAGGAAACTAGGCCAGTCCATCCTGTCACTGCCTCCTGAGGCTTATTTTCAAGTGTGCCTTTTGAAAAACCAGGGAAGAAAAGAAGAATCATTTAGTTCAAATGCAAATTCCAAGCAGTTCCAACAGAATTCTCACTGATCTCCAGAAGAATTGTGTACATGCAACATTTGTGTAGTGCTGCTGGTACTGCCTCATTATGAGCCAGCAGCAGCAGAAACCACCCAGGTCGTCAGGGCTAAGATACGATGACAGCATGTCCTCATTAGCTTCTGGGATGGGCTGCAACTCATGGGCTTTGATTTATAAGGTCCTTAAGAAACAAAATTCTGGCAAGTTACGCATTCTCCCTTATCTTTTCTTACAAATTGCCTGAAATTGCCTTTTACTCCAGAAGCATCAAATGAGTTTCTAATGCTACCACCACAGTTTTGTGGCACGAGAAGAATGTGTCCTGTGCCGAGGACCCTGCCCCGAGCCCCTTCCCATGTGGAGCACCAACATTGGGACCTGCAGTCTCAACGCTGGATTCAGGGCCTTAATACTGTCAGTGTCTCTGGAGGAGAGTTTGTTTGCTTAACTGTTGCCAAAACTTCTGCTTGTTTGTTTTTGGGGGCTGAGGAAAGAGTTTGTCTCTGCAGTGACCCCAGCCGTGCCAGTTGGCCATAAAAATACACGGTTTTACTCCGTGTTTCACTGTATGTTCAAGGCTGTATCCGTGAAGCACTTCCAGAAGCCCCTGCAGGGCATCTCTCTGGGATATTTCACAATAAATAAATATTATCTCTGAAATTTTGATAACACAAAGCAAGCCAGCTCTGCTGCTGCAGAAACACGGTGCAGCGACACAGAGGAGAACATCGGATTTAACATTCCCCTCAAGGCACATGGAACAATTACCTGAGCATTAGCAAAAACCAAACCAAAAAAACCCAACCCAGAACAAATCTCTTGTCACAGAACCACAGAATCCTTGAGGTTAAAGAAGGCCCTTCAGATCATGAAGTCCAACCATTCATCCATTATTGCCAAGTCCCCATCAGCTGGATGCTGTCCACCACGTGGGCATGGAAGTGCTGCTGCACCTGTGAGGGTCTCAGGATGTGGCAGACAGGGTCTGGTGGTGGTGTCACCCCTCGTAAAGGTGTCTTGGTGTCAGAGGAGGACAGACACTAAAGCATTTCCTAATAGAAATAAAAATGCCAGCAACCCGGTTCAGACACCAGCAACTTCACCACACTGAGGAATGAAGAAAAGAGAGAAAAAAGTTCTTGTGACTTCATAAAAAGCCCGGGTATCTCTCACCTTCCTGAGAATCATTAAGCTCGGAGAATTACCTCTGCTTATGTTCTCTTCCACCCTCGGGAGAGACAGTGACTGGCAGATTTACAAACAAACAGGGATTAGAGGAAGGTCTGAATCTTGGGGCTCTGCAGGATTAGCTGTGAAATGCACAGCCTCCATGGGCCACAAACACAGACCCCATCTCACTTTGTTCTTAGACTTAAAAGAGAAAACAAAACATTTTGAAGTGCTGACTGCTTCCATGAAATATGTGCTTCTCTGGTACCTGAGCAATTCCAGCTGCAGAATGATTCTGGGAAGGATGGAAGATTTCCTGCACTGTGTTCCTTGCTCTGACATCACGGGAAGGCTCTTCCCTTCCACGCGCCGTCAGCGAAACCAGCTCTGAGCACTCACTTACACGAGGGCTCGATGCCAGGGCACACTCAGGGAGCCACGTAGAAAGGCATCATCCTCTATGTATTTGAGTAGAGCCAACTCGGGATAAATTTTTCCAATGGAAATGGCTGGAATTTTACCCCATAATTTTCTTGTCATCGCTTCCCTACCTGGCATGAGGCTTTCTAGGACTGCAGGTTATCCATACCTGGCAGCAAACACACACAGAACATAGCCAGAACTTAAGGAAACTATAATTAAATATGCCTGAATTTAGGTCAGCTATTAACTGTTCTTTTTCCATCCCATGACTAGAAACTGGGAATACAAATAGAAAGGAGGAAGTTCAGCCTGTTCCAGAGTTCTCAGTGCTGCAGAACACGCTTGACACACTACCTGGACAGTTTGCAACAGCTCTGCACTTACCTGATTCCTGGTGAAAGTGCTTTTAGACCTGTGGAAATGTAGTAGTGATGGTGCTGGTGGAAATGTCGCTGTGAGGTTCTAACATGCAAGCAAAAGATGAGGAATAAGGCTCAGGATCAAACCGAGCCTGTTTGGAATAAGTGCTATTGCTCTCTAATGATGAAAAGCTGAGGGAAGACACTGAACAACCAAAGAGGAGAAGCCCCTGAGTGACAGCCCAGAGCCTGCTCCCTGCACAGCCCACGGACACGGCACCACCTCGCCTGGACACCACTAATACCAGATCACAGCTCCGCGCTGGCTTAACACGGCCTCGGGACTTGCCCGGCCTTGCCCTGGCTCATCTGCTCTGCACCTTATTTTTAGCTGGGTTTTAGCCCTAACAGCCAACTTAGCCAAGAGACAGTTACCCTACAACTATAAACCACATCTCCTACCATTTCTGCTTTCCTAGTAGCAAAAAATCCTCCCCTCTCACATTTCTTTATTTCTCTCTCTCTATATATAGCAAGAATTCCATCATAATTTTGTTTTGGAGGTACAGATGACTTGGTGGTTAGTTTTGGTTTCTAGAGTTTTTTTAGAACAGGTTAAAAATATATTCTTACATGCCATTATTCAAAATACTTAATTATGGAATTTCCCTTTTCCCCACAGAAAGGGGAACCCCCTGGTTACATGGATCGTGGGTAAGGCTGGAATCTTGCTTTGACTCTGAATTCTGAAGGACTTTGCATCTCCTAAAATGTAATAAAAACAGTCTCTTGACAATTCCAAGTCTTTACTACAAGCTGTCCCTCTTTCTCCAGTAGAGCAACTTACACATATAGTTCAGAGACTTTATCTACTTTAATCCCAGGAGAAAATCCTGTTGGATAAAGGCCATAATTTATTGGGATATATGAAGAAGACTCAAGCATTTGGGCCTGGCTTTTTAGGAGACCTGAGGGACACCTTCTGCTGGTGGTTACATACAAAAAGAGGACACACAGAAGTCTGTGGGTCACAGATTAGACACACATAAACCAAGCAAACCCATTCCTTTGTCACTTCATGCCACACCAAGTTCTGCAATTCAATATCAGTGGAGCCTTTTAAACACCACTGCAAAAAAAAGGTGAAAAATAACACGGAAAAAGTCCCATTTTGCAAAATCATCAG